CCTTCAGCTCAGGTCATGATCCCAGGGTCCTGGGATGGAGCCCCGCATCGGGCTCCCTGCTCAGCAGGAAGCCTGCTTCTCCCTCTCCCACTCCCTTTGCTTGTGTTCCTGCTCTCGCTATCTCTCTCTGTGAAATAAATAAATAAACTCTTTAAAAAAAAAAAAAAAGATCACCTAAAAATTTTGTTAAGATTCTTCAAACCTCTCCCACCATCTGATCTGATTTAGAGAGCATAAACTAAACAGAGAAAAAAAAACTAGCAGCCTTGTCTCCAAGGCCCAGTTTGCTTTCTGCAAAGCAGTCAATACACGATCCCTCCCACCCCCATCTGTATACTTTTTACCACTCTTTATACCTAGATGGGAAAAGCTAATATTGAAAGTTGAGTAAACAGGATGATTTAATGGAGGAGCTGGTAGTGGTACACTACATTTTGGTAAGTATTTATAGTTCCAAACGTAAAGTATAGTTCCAATATGCAGGGATCAAAAATAAAAAACCCTAGCAATAGTGCATACTGGAAATAAGAATAGCTAACACTGAGCACTTTGCACTGCTCTAAGCAATTTATATTTATTAATTTAATTCTCAAAACACTAAGAGGCACTTCATTAATCAATAAACAGTAGGTCAGAGAGATTATATAACTTATTCAAGGTAAAGTAGCCAGCAACTGAAAGTTTGAATTTGAGCATAAGCTGTCTACTCTTAAGCCCAAGCTCATAAGCAGTAAGCTGTGCGATATTAAAATTTTAGCTAAGAAAAACAAGGGCTATCCTGAAAAAGCAGATAGACAGTATTTCCTAACAGATTATTGGAAGAAACAAAGTAGAGCTAGTGTCAAATTAATGACAAAGATAAAACTGTTATTTTTGAAAATAAGATTTTTAGGTTTTTCATCAAAATGAAAAAATTCTTACAAGTAAAATAAAAATACGCATAAAATGAAAATACTTTCATATATATATACCATGACCTTAGTAAAATATTTTAAAAGCATGTTTCTTTCTTTAGGAGAAAGTTGAAAATTCTATTTAGATTAGAAATAAACATTGTAGGGCGCCTGGGTGGCTCAGTTGGTTAAGCGACTGCCTTCGGCTCAGGTCATGATCCTGGAGACCCGGGATCGAGTCCCGCATCACGCTCCCTGCTGAGCAGGGAGTCTGCTTCTCCCTCCAACCCTCCCCCCTCTCATGTGTTCTCTCTCTTTCTCTCTCTCAAATAAATAAATAAAATCTTTAAAAAAAAAAAAAGAAATAAACATTGTACTATTCTTAAGTACTGTGCCTTCGGCATAGCCCTCTACCAGTATTTTCTATTATGAACATAGCTATATATCAATTCAATTTGCTAGTTGTTCCAGAAAGAGAAAGTTAGTCTCAAGATCACATTTTAACTGAAATAAGAACTACAAATGTCATGTCAAGGTATGTATCTTTTGAAATATATTATCTTTCAAAAAATTTTGAGCTTTCTAAGCTCAAAAACTGAGAATCAAATTACTACTTATGCAAAGAAAATGAGGCACATATAACTTGTTCAAATCAAAATTGGTTCCAAAAAGCGAAAAAACAATTTCTTCCCTTCTCCACCCCCACCATTACAATAATAATAAATTGATAAAAATCACATAAAACAAGAAATATATTTACATTTCTTTGTCTTTTCTGCAGATCTGGCACAGGTTTCCTTGAGTAAATTACATAAATGCCTTGTAGCATTATTCCTGAAAGAAAGCAAAGAGTCTCCCTAAGTGTAATCTGATCTCAAAGCAAAGTTGTATGTAAAAGTTATGAAACATTGTTACAATTCTTAAAGAAATTCTTATATTTTAATATATATATCACATTACTCATAAATGATTATGTGAAAAAAAATGGGTTGACTGTACTATTAGCCAAGATGATTTAGTAACTTCCTCCCTTTAAAATGATAGTTCCTGTTATTAACAAGTTTCTACCCACGTAGCTAACAATAACATTTCAGTAAATAGTTCCATATTTTGCCTAAGGGGAAAAAAAATAAGAAAGGAGGGTTTGGCTTTTCATTTACTAATTACCCCAGCAATATTCTGTCTTACCCTCTAAACATTAAACAGTTAATTTTCTGACTAGCCTTTCATTACATGCATCAGATGACCTCTGATCATCTCAATAGATGCAGATAAAGCAATTTTAAAAATTCAGTATCCATTTATGATAAAAACTCTCAACAAAGTGTGTATAAAGGTAATGTACCTCAACATAATAAAGGCCACATATGACAAGTCCACAGCTAACCTCATACTCAACAGTAAAAAGTAAAAAAGCTGAAAGCTTTTCCTTTAAGATCAGAACAAGACAAGAATGCCCACTCTCACCACTTTTATTCAACATAGTATTGGAAGGCTTAGAGCAATTAGGCAAGAAAATAAATAAAGGTATCCAAATTGGAAAGGAAGAAGTAAAACTCTCACTATTTGCAGATGACATATTATATATAGAAAACCCTAAAGACTCCACCAGAAACTACTAGAACTAATAAAACAAATTCAGTAAAGTTTGCAGGATAAAAAAATCAATACACAAAAATCAATTGCATTTCTGTACACTAATAATGAACCATCTGAAGGAGAAATTAAGAAAACATCCCCATTTACAATTGCACCAAAAAGAATCAAATTCCTAGGATTAAATTTAACCGAGGAGGTGAAAGACCTGTATACTAAAAACTATAAGACATTAATGAAAGAAACTGAAGACGCAAATAAATAGAAAGATATTCCATGCTCATGGATTAGAAGAATATTGTTAAAATGTCCACACTACCTAAATGGGTCCTGATACCAATTTCAATGTGGGGAGGGGTATTCTCTACACCAACAAGCAATTCTTGGGACACAAGCAGGGTGTCCCATAATTCAATTCAATTATGACACTATCTACCTGGAGATAGCCTCAGATTCTACAGGTTAAGTGTTCAGTCCTACACAACCACTGTCCCCCTAGCCCCACTTAAGATACCAGTCGCAAGCCCAGGTTTCACCTGTACTTCTGTCCAACTGGCTATAAATCAAAAGTTCCCATGACTCACTCCTTAGTTTTCAGACACCAGTCACAAGTTCAGATTGTTACCTGAATCTGACAGACTGCCTATAATCTGAGGTTCCTTGGGTTTGATTAATTTGCTGGAGCAGCTCACTGAACTCAAAGAAACAATATACTTGTTAGATTACTAGTTTATTATAAAAGGATATAAACTCAGGAATAGCCAGATAGAAGATATGCACAGGGCAAGGCATGGGAAAAGGGTGTGGAGCTTCCATGCTCTCTGAGCTCACCACTCTCCCCAAATCTCTTCTCCAAGCTGGAAGCTTTCCTAACCTTGTCCTCTTGGGTTTTTATGGAGGCTTAGTTACATAATTGTGACTGATTAAATCATTGGCCACTGATGACTGATTCAACCTCCAGACCATCTCCCCTCCAGAAGAGAGGGGCAGTGGTGAAAGTTCCAACCATCTGATCACATGGTTAGTTCTCTTGGCAACTAGCCCCATCTTTATGTGGGATCCAAAAGTCACCTCATTAACATAACAAGAGATACCTTTGTCATTCTCAGCACTTAGGATATTCCAAGGATTTTGGAAACTATGAATCAGGAATAGTAGACGAAGATCAAATATATGTAAGAAATACATATTTGGTCATCTGAATGACCAAAAATATACATTTTTTCTTATATATATATCACACTACCCAAAACAATTTACAGAGTCAATGCAATCCCAACCAAATTCCCAATTGCATTTTTCAGAAATAGAACAAACCTAAAATCTGTATATAATTACCAAAGAGCCAAAGCAAACTTGAAAAAGAAGAAAAGAGCTGGAAGAATCACACTTCCTGATTTCAAACTACATGACAAAACTATAATAATCAAAATAGTATGGGAGGTGGATGGAAGGTTAGTTTTTTTGTATTTTTTTTTAAGATTTTATTTATTCATTTATTTGAAAGGGGAGAGGGGCAGAGGGAGAAGGAGAAAAAAGTCCCAAGCAGACTCCCTGTGGAGCACAGAGCCCAACGCAGGGCCAATACTACAACCCCAAACAAGATCATGACCTGAGCTGAAATCAAGAGTCAGAGTCTCAACCAACTGAGCCACCCAGGCACCTTGGGAGGTTCGATTAAATAGGTGATGGGGATTAAGGAGTGCAGTTGTTGTGATGAGCACCAGGTATTATATGGAAGTGTTGAATCATTATATTATATACCTAAAACTAATTATTATACTGTATGTTAACTAACTGGAATTTAAATAAAAACTTAAAAAAAAACAGTATGGTATTAGCATAAAAACAGACACATAGGAATGCCTGTGTGGCTCAGTAGGTAAAGCATCCGACTCTTGATTTTGGCTCAGGTCATGACCTCAGGGTTGTGGGATTGAGCCCTGCATCAGGCCCCACGTTCAGTGCAGAGTCAGCTTGTCCCTCTCCCTCTGCTTCTCCCCCCACTCACTCACTCTTCTCTCTAATAATAAAATCTTAAAAAAAAAAACAGACACATAAATCAACAAAACAGAACAGAGAGCCCAAAAATAAAGCCATGCATATATGGTCATATAAAATGAAAAACACAAGAAACAACACGTGTTGGCAAGGATGTGAAGAAAGAGGAATCCTCCTACACTATGGAAATGCAAATTGGTGCAGCCACTGTGGAATACAGTATGGAAGTTGCTCAAAAAATTAAAAATAGAACTACCCTATGACCCAGTTTACCCAAAGAATATGAAAACACTAATTTGAAGGGATATATGCACTCCTCTTGCAGCATTATATACAATAACCAAATTATGGAAGCAGCCCAAGTGTGTGATGATGGATGAATGGATAAAGAAGATGTGGTGTGTGTGTGTGTATATATATATATATATATATATCTCACTACCCAAAACTATTTACAGAGTCAATGCAATACAATATATACATATATGTACACACACACACACACACACACACTGGAATATTATTCAGCCATAAAAAAGAATGAAATTTTGCCATTTGCAACAACATGGATGGATCTAGAGGGTATAATGTTAAGTGAAATAAGCCAGTCAGAGAAAGGGTGGTTTGGTTTGGATTTCAAAGCCTAAGACTTCTCTAGTACAGAGCAGTAGTTCCCAAAAGATGATTCTTGAACCAGCAACATCCACATCACTTGTTAAAAGCTCAAATTCTGAAGCCCTACTCCACTAAATCAGAAAATTCTGGTAGGGGGGCAGAGGACAACAGTATAGGTTTTAACAAGCTCTGCAGTTAATTCTGATGCTTGCTAAAACTTAAGAACCACTGGTCTAGAGAGGGACTTTTTTGTTACTGGTTTTGTAAAAATCAAAACAAGTGACCATAAATCTAATTCTTCAATTACAATTTGAAAAACATTTTCAGCCTTTTCCTGTTAATTTATGGTGAGGGGTAGAGGACAAAAGTCCCTTTAGCAATATGTTCCCTAAACCACAAAGACCCTTTGAACAGCACAACCTGACATAAAACCAGCCATATACTCCATATACAAGCAATCATCCAATCAAAAAAATATTTATTCAAGTCTACTATGTTCCCACAATGTCTCAATTTTAGAATTCTTAAAACTCTTCACTGGCTTCCAAATGGCCATCTGCAGCAATTTTCAAACTTTTTTTTCCCTAGAACCAAAATCCTTTTTCAAAATGAAATATTAACTGGATACACAAGATTTTAAATTATACTTAAAGCTGTTCTTGTTGAAGGGAGCCATATCTATAACCACTCAGTCTTTCTTCAGCCCACCCCTCTGCAACCCCTATCCCTCCACCTCCACTTCAACATAAAAATCAAAACTCCTTAGCATGTCATGAAATGCTAGAGTAGCAACCTCTAATTCTCCTCCTGGCTAACTCCTATTCATCCTTCAGACATCCTCATCTTTAGAAAGCCTTCTCTGACAACAACCACCATCATATGCATGCTACAGGGCTTGACAGGTTTAATTCATCAAATTACTTAAACAAATCCCAGCTAGGAGTCTAACAAAAATCAAATGTTGCTTTTTAAGGGTATTTCTGAAAATATGTAATTGTAGATGCTTCAGGTTTGACTGCTAAAATTTGAAAATTGAGACTATTATTACATCTAATGGTGGAAATCAGATATTTAAGGTCCTGCTCCATTCAAAAAAAAATGCCTCCAAAATTATCTAAATTATCTCAAAACTCTTTTCCTGCTCAAAAATGTCAATAAACCAAAGTGTCCATTCTTGCTCAAACTTCTATTACAGGCCAGGCGTATGGTTTTGAAATACCCAGTCTCTTTCAAATCTACATCCTTTTTAGAAAGTCATGATCAGTGAATGAGCTGGTCCTGAGCAACTTTATATCAAATCTGTCATCCAATAATCAAGTCACTCTACCTTAACTTTGTTTCTCACCTATATTTTGACAAAGCTCTTACCTAATGTTAGGTTCCTTCAGATGACAATTGATAATTCAGTATTTGAGGCCAAAACGGACACACAACTGAAACTGCTTAAAATAGAAGGAAATCATGCCCAAAATAAATGCACTCCCTCTCACCTCAAAGAAATGGCATAAATTCTATATTATGTCACACTACACTACCTTAAACTATACTATGTCACTAAACAGTCACAGTATTAACAAAAATTCAACTGTACATCAGTGGAGGCAACAGCAGTCTTAAGAAAGCTCACAAGCTATCAAATACTGGTATTAGGGCTACAGTAGGCTTTAGATGTCCTATAAGATACTATAGAAACAATCATATACCCATACAAAAGTGACCATAAGTATCAAATATACAATAGGCACACAATGTTAGAAACTTTCTCTTCTCTCTCCCTTCTCCCTAATAACCAAACCTCAATTAGGCAGGGGAAAAAATTGAGGTTTAGCATTTGAATTTTATCTGGGAAGCCATAGGTTGTCTTTTTTTAATTAAGTAATCTCTAACCCCAATATTAGGCTCAAATTCACCACCTGGAGATTAAGAGTCACATGCTCTTCCAATTAAGCCAGCCAGGCACCCCCACAGGTTGTCTTTCAATTAGACTAAAACAATCTGTTTTAAGAGCCTTTTTCATTTATCAGCAACTTCACTGACAAAGTGATAGGTCTTCTAAAGCCATGATGTTTAACTTAAACATGTAGGAATAAATAAATTTTGCACTCTTCAGGGACCCATACATTACATTCTAACTATTCAATATTTACTTGGCAGATGAAATAAACAACTACATTTTTCTATTAAATTCTACATGATATAATCTGAATGAGGTAATCAGGGTATAAAATAAGGCTTAGCTATTGCCTAGAACAAAGGAAAGGAAAAGCTAGAGAGGACACTAAAATTTTAAGCTAACACTAATGGAAGAATCATTAGGCCACTGACAAAAACAGGAATTTGAGAGTAAGAATTACCTTGTAACTAAATTGAGCACTATTTTACAAATGCTGCACCTAAAATGTTGCAACAAACAGAAAGGTAAACAATATACATAGGCAGTTGTAGATACAGGATTTTTTATCAGATACCTATTGATACCAAATAATGGTTTTTCTCCTGCCTGACATTTTAAAAAGTGAGAAATTATTAGTCAGTGACCACTGTTTGCCAAATACAAGAACATAAAATAAGTATTTCTTCCTTTTTCCACAGTACCCAGGTAGAATTCTATATATAAGTTAATATTACATAACAGAATATTAAGTTCAATAAATTTCTGGAAATGATTTTAATAAATCTGGAATAAATTTAGAAAGAACAAATTAATTAAATTATTACTTACTCTTTTATTAAATCTTTATTTTCTTGAATTCCTTCCTCTAATTTCAAACTTACTTTTTCATTTTCAAACTAATTTACAAAACAAAAAGAACAGTTCATCACATTTTGCTTAACAAAATAAACAGTACAATCATTAAGCAGCATTTCTTTGCTAACTAAGAAGTATAAGAATTCTTTGCACACACAAAACTTTTGTGTCACAGCTTATGGATTTCCCATAAAAATATGGATCTCACTTTCATAGATCTAAAATCAAGTTTGCTGAATCATATCCAAAAAGTATCCAACAATATTTTAATGTAATATTATCTTCCCTAAGCATTTTTAAATGTTTTATCTTTGTCCTAACCCAATGTTTCATTTTCTCAACATTTTTCTTTCACTCGGCCACAAAACTGAAGCTAAATAGTTCCAAATATAAAATCCATAAATGTCATATTCCAATTAATAAAAGACATTTATATGAAACATCATCAGTAATAGGAATTAATAAAAATTAAAAGTTTATAATTAGAATCATTAAATCAATCTTTATCTAAAGTAATTTATTTCCCTAATCATTTACACTAAGCTTTGTGCAACTTGTCCTCTGTGCTCATCCTAAAGTTGAAACACAGTATCAGTAAAAATTCAAAAACCACTGTCCTTAAAATCCACATCACTGAAAAACTCTATTTTAAAAGTAATATGATAAAATCTGCTACACTACATTTTCAATTCCAAATCTCATTATACCTGTAGTTCCTGAATGGCTTTCCGCTGTGCTTCAATTATCTTTCTATTTTCTTGCAACTTATTTTCTTTCTGCTTCAATTCAGATTCTACATTCACTTTCCACTTCTTGATCTTTTCAGCCTCCTTATACAGTTTTGAATATAGTCTGCTCATTGGCTCTGAATTCTGTTGAGATAAATAGGTTTCAAAGAGTGGTTAGACTAAAATTTTGAACAATTAAAAACTACAGCTGCCTATTTAAAATATCTATGAGTAATATAGTATCTTAATAGTTGAGAACAAGTCTCGCCTCAATTTATGCCCTAATAGCATCCTGAAAACTACATTAACTCTTTAAAAGTTATTAGTAGTATTAGCTACTTCACTAAAGTTACTGGTCACTTGACTAAGTTATACCCTACTGAATAAAATCTAATACCTTGAAAATATACCTAAGCCAGATATTGGAAATAGTTTAGTCAATGAGAGAATCTGGCTGGTCAAAAGCTAAAATAAGTCACTCTACATGATATCTATAAATTTTTACAATGGCCTTGAAACATTTTGGTTATACAGTTTGAAGATTACCTAAAGGACATGAATTTTAAAATATAATGACAAAAAATCGTTAACACAAGATCTAGCTTTCATTTATTCTAAAGTTTTATTTAGCTTTTACTTGGATTTTCTGCATTATCCATTTCAACATTATAAGGTAAATGCCAGTTTATATTTTTTAAAATCACAGATTTCTGCTTGCTGATAGCTCTTTGTTATCAAAATACATGAGTTAAGTTCCATATTTTTAAATTCTGTGATACATTTATAATCACAGCAACAGACATACAGCACTTTATCAAGCCATGGAATTTTTTTTTTTTTTTTTTAAGTAGACTCATGCCCAAAATGGGTCTTGAACTCAAGAGTCTCATGCTCTACCAACTGAGCCAGCCAGGTGCCCTAGAATTTCTGTTTTGTTTTTTGGGAGAGAGAGAGCGCAAGCGAGCACAAGGGGGAGGAGGGGCAGAGGGAGAAGCAGATTCCCCACTGAGCAGGGAGCCTGATGTGATGTGAGGCTCCATCCCAGGACCCTGAGATCATGACCTGAGCCAAAGGCAGACCCTTAACTGACTGAGCCACCAAGGCGTGCCTCTTTTTTGTTTTCAAGACATCTACGTGCCATAAGTAAGAATGATTTTTTATAACCAAAATAAAAAGTACCGCAAGTTATATAAATTCTTTAGACAACAAATGAGCCAAACAATCATACTTATTAATTAAAGGATTGTTTGTAAAATAGTGGTTTGAGTCTCAGCCTTTTCACATATTGTATCCACATTCCCTCTTCTATTCTTGCTCTCTGTAGTTTAAAATTAAATTGCCCCGAAAGAATGGATGCTTGCATAACCCAGGAAAATGCAGAAGCCTAGTGTTTCAGCAACTTTAAAAGAAAAACAAAGGGGGAAAAATGGTTTTAAAGAATAGAACTTGGGCACCTGGGGGGAAAATGGTTTTAAAGAATAGAACTTGGGCACCTGGGTGGCTCAGTCGTTAAGCGATCCCAGGGTCCTGGGATCAAGCCCCACATCAGCCCCACGTGCTTCTCCCTCTCCCTCTCCCTTTGCTGCTCCCCCTGCTGGGCTCTATCTCTCTGTCAAATAATAAATAAAATCTTTTTAAAAAATAAAAAATAAAGGATAGAACTTAAAACATTAACCAAATTTCAATCCTTTAGAAGCTTCAAAAAGGAAGAGATAATCAAACAATAATAAATGATACTCCAATTACAAGAAATTTAATATAGATGGGAAATCTTCTGACCTCAAAATCAGAGTCTTTTAGTCCTTCCTGGTAGGGACAACTGTCAGAATTATCAACCTAAAAAAAATGAATAAGTGTTTCCTGTAAGAAAATATTTCTGATGAGAGTTTCCAAATAGTAGCAATTAAGTACTGACGACTAATAATCCAACAAGAATTTTTTTCCTTTATCAAACAAGCAACTCAATACCTAAGCAGATTATATCTATGTACCCTATACTTAACTGACCTGTTCAAGCATGGGCAAAAACTTAACTTTTTGTAAAGCAGGATCTGCAAGATAAAAGACAACTGGTATTAAATATGCCAACATCTTATTTTTTTATATTAAGTATTATATCTAACTTTAATGTCATGGCTCTCAATATAATACTTATATTTTCAATATCTAGCAATGTGTATGTAAAAAGTACTTCTATATATAGTGATACATTGCTTTTCCAGTCTCTTACCTGAATCAATGTTTTCCCCATTTTTGGAGAGATTAGTCATTGCAAATGGAAAACTAAAATCATCTTCAATATATTTGTTGAAACTCTAGAAACACAAAGAAGTTCTTAAACATACTGTTCCAAACCACTCTGATAACTAGCAGTGTAATATGTAATTATATATGTAATATGCATCTGCTTAAAGAAGTGACTTCAATTGTAAATCCTTTAAGGTATATATAACATTTAAAATATCAAGTGGTTTTGTTATGTAAAAAAGCAAAAAATATATGCTTTGTAAGTATTCAAGAAAAATAGTAATTTTAATTAGTAGCTTAATATATTAGTTTTCTTCAATTTCATTATGATCTTTCCCTTAATAAAACTGAGAGTTGTCTTCACTGAATAGCATTTTAATATTATACTCTTAGCTATACAGACCACAGGAATTTTTCTACAGCATGTAAAATTGAAATATTCATTGCTTCATTCCATCTCCAATATAAACTTCCAGAGAAATTTTAAAAATAATTTAGCAGTAAAAGCTGTTTAACCTAAGAAACTTGGTATAATTCCTCCTTTCTGATAAGAACTCTGTTATATAAGTGAATTTCTCTTTTTATCCTGGCAACCAGGAGGCTCAAAGCCAAATTTTAAGCTTAGTCAGACACTAATTTTTACCAGTATGGTAACATATTTGTCCAAATTTTCTTATTTTTTCCTTGACCCTAATATTCTCTTAATATGTTTTTGTATCTTGCTATTTCATTGTATATGTCTTACAAATTGCCTCAAGTCATTTAAGGACAGAGGGAGGATTCAAATAAGCAGGACTCATTATGTATCCAGAGTTCTACAGAGGCGGTGATTATTTTTTTAAATGAACGATGCTCACAAACATTAAGTATGCTCCTTATTCATTCGAGGCAATACTATTCAAAATTCTTGGGCAATAAAAATCCTGGAAGAAAGCACAGGCAGTAATTTCTCTGACATCGGCCATAGCCACATTTTTCTAGATAGGTCTCCTGAGTCAAGGGAAACAAAAGCAAAAATGAACTATTGGGACTTCCTCAAGATAAAAAGCTTCTGCACAGTGAAGGAAACAATCAACAAAACTAAAAACAACCTACTGAATGAGAGAAGATACTTGCAAAGGACATATCCAATAAAGGGTTAGTATCCAAAATATATAAAGAATTTATAAAATTCAACACCCAAAACACAAATAATTCAACTGAAAAATGAGAAGAATAGACATTTATCCAAAGAAGATATCCAGATGGCCAACACACACATGAAAAGATGCTCAACATCACTCATCATCAGGGAAATGCAAATTAAAACCACAATGAGATATCACCTCACACCTGCCAGAATGGCTAAAATGAAAAACACAAGAAACAAGTATTGACAAGGATGTGGAGGAAAAGGATCTCTCATGAACTGCTGGTGGGAATGCAAACTGGTGCAGCCACTCTGGAAAACAGTATAGAGTTCCTGAAAAAATTAAAAATAGAACTCCCCTATGATCCAGCAACTCCACTACTGGGTATTTACCCAAAGATTATGAAAACACTAATTTGAAAAGATGTATGACCCCTGTGTTTATTGTAGCATTATTTACAATAGTCAAATTATGGAAGCAGCCCAAGTGTCCATCGACTGATGAATGGTTTTGGAGATGAGGTGTATATATACAATGGGATATTACTCACCCATAAAAAAAAGAATGAAATCTTGCCATTTGCAATGACATGGATGGAGCTAGAGTGTATTATCCTAAGTAAAATTAGTCAGAAAAAGACAAATACCATGTGATTTCACTCCTATGTGAAATTTAAGAAACAAAACAAAACAAAAAAAGAAATAAAATAAACAATCATGGGGGTGGGGGGGAGAAGAGACAAACCAAGAAACATACTCTTAACTATAGAGAACTAACTGATGGTTACCAAAGGGGAGAAGGGTGGGTGAAATAGGTGACGGGGATTAAGGAGGGCCCTTCTCGTGGTAAGCACTGGGTGATGTATGGAAGTATGAAATCACTATATTGTACACCTGTAGCTAATATAACACTGTTGAGTAAACTGGATTTAAAATTTTTTTAATTTTAAATAAATTTGTTTAAAATTCTTGGGTAAACCAGGCCACATTTGCTGGGAAAAAAAATTATAAAATAACACCAGTAAGAAAGTACATGGTGTCTCCTTACCTGAAGAATAGTCAAATCAAGATTCATATGCAAATTTACCTTGAAGAAATTAGAATCTCCTCCCAAACTCTGAGGTTTCACTGCAGATACTTGACTGCTACTTAATCTTGGTGGTACAAACAATTTAAAAGGCTTTTGCTTTTCCATTTTCTCTCTTCCAGTTGTAATTATCTATTGCCCCAGAAGGCAGGGGGGAAAAAGTGTTTTTATATTGTTTCATTAATACACTCTTTATGCTTTATTTTAAAAGGCGATGTCTGTATAACAAATGCAATGTAAAGGAGCAGGAGTAACCTCTGCTACACTGTTGAGTCTGCAGCGTCACATCACTGGGCGGTCAAAGTAAAAACATCCCGCAGTTGTTCCCACCATCTACCACCACCAATGGCCACGCTGGCGACCTAGACAAGCCAGAAACTCCGAGGTATCATCACTGTGACAGCCCGAAAAGAAAGCTCTACCTCCACCAGCCCTGGTAAATTGCATCACCCAGCCGCGAGACGTACCGTAAGTTCTTAGAGGGCTACCGGCTACCGAGGAGGTGTTCGGGGGTGGGGGGGGGTGGAGTGGGGCCGCTGGCCAAGCGCTGCAGGTGCGGAATCGAATCAAATCATTGCCCAGCTCCGCGTTCCGTCGTCAAGAAAGGAATTCAGTACACCTGCCCTTACCTTTCAAGATTCAGGGGGAAACCATGGACTCGGTGCCCACGCGAACTGCTACCTGCTGTCTATTAGGACAGCAAAAAGAATCAATTAGAGCTTCTGCCTCCGAACCTCAGAAAAGGCGGGAATCGCTCCACCTCAGCGGCCAGCCAGGAAGGGCGGGGTGCACGGCTGTTTAACGGCTAAATAACGGTCAGCTGCGAGAGTTTGCCCGGCTTCCGATTCTCGCGAGATTTTCCTTTACGTTGGTAACAATTCTTCGCGGGATTCTGTTTCTCCTCAGCGTAGACGTTCTTTAAGCTTCTGCTATTGTCAGAGAATGCAAGGAAAACTAGCAAGTGCTGTGATAGATTGGAGCGGAGAGTGAAAAATCCATTTCTGTCGTCCAAGAGTTCAGTCTTAGGGAAGAAACAGATGGGCAGATAATTATAGCCAGATGTAATCATTTATAGGTGGTAATTTTGAAAGGGTGGTTAGGACACAGGGAAAGTGGCGCTTGCTGTGGCCTGGGGAGTCAGGAGAGGCTACACAGAGGTGTTAGGCTTCTCTTACGGCTTCCCTCGAGAATAAGAGAGTGACTAGAGAGAGTGGGCTACATAGTCAATGGGGAAAGGGAATTCCTGACTGAGGGAAGGTAGGCAAAGGCCCTGTGGTTGTGAGCGAGATTAGTACAAGAGAGAGTCCAAGTAGTGTGGCGTAGGTGTGTTGAGGAGAGGTGGGAAAACAGCAAGAGATGAGACTGCAGATTCGGCAGATATGAGGCCTTCCAAAGGCTTTTGGATTTTAGCCTTTATGGATGGGGATCTTGAAGAGTTCTGAGTAGAAAGGGAAGCAAGATCAAGTTCGGAAGAAAATCTGTCATTATGACAAAAGACTTAGGCGGGCATATCGGACTGGAGTTTGGGAGACAGTTTTAATAGGCTGGGTAAGGTGTGAAGAGCTGAGCCGTGACAGTGGCAATGGAGATGAAGAGGCATCAAACGTAAAAGATATTTAGGAAGTAAAATTAATAGGATTTGATGGCTGTTTTTTAATAGTAAGCCGTGAAAGAAGTCTCACTGCTTGGCTTCAAGCTGGGGCGAGAAAATACAATAAATATTGTGGTACTAAGTACCTAGGTTTGAGCAATAAGATAACGAGTTCCATTTTGAACACATTTGACTTTGTTTTCAAACTTCTCCAGGTACTATAATTGATTTCCAAAGGGCTTAAGTAATATTTTTAAATAACTAATTTTGTATAAAGTTAACCTATGAGACATAAGAGTTACTGCTAAAATTTAAAAATTTTTGATCCAGGTTAAGTCCTTCGTTTTACATTTTAAGGAAACAGTCTAGATACCCTAAAAAAGACAAAATATTCCCTCCAAGAGATGATTCCAGGTTTATGCCCAAGATGCGCCGTGGGGGCAATAATTAATGAATTTAAATAAGATCTTCTTGAAGTTGAGGATATAAATTCAATATTCCAGTTTTTTTAAGTTTTATAACTAAAAAAATTGAACTACAGTCTTTTTTTTCTTTCTTGAAAACCAAAATGCGACTTCTCCTAGTATTAACTTAAATTCACAGTATTTTATTTACTTACACCCAGTCTTTCAAAACAATAGTGCCACATTTCACATGAAATTTATTCTTAACTAAATAACCTTCCTATCTTTAGAAGGATTAAAATATTTGTGGAAAGATTTCAGTTTTTAAGAACTTCATTTTTTCTACAAAAGGCATATTGACAAAAATGTCAAAATATTGTCTACCAGAATGAGCAGTAAATTGTGCTAAATTTCCCAATGCATGTTAAAACATTTTAATGATTTGTCATTTTAAACTTTTTCAATATCTGGCCATCACAGATTTTTAAAATGTGGACTTAAAAAGATTTCTTTTTTTAACAACATTAAGAAAAGGTAAGAGTTGAACAAAGTTTTCTTCCTCTTTAATAATTCATAAAATGCTATAACAGGAATAAATTTAAAATGTTCTTTATCCATCAATCTGGCCTAATTAATGAGGGTCACAAACTACCTTTATTCTAATTACAATTGTTTCCTCTAGATAGCCTTTCTCATGTCTATAATCTGTATATTTTCATTCCATTTTTCTACTAAAGGAAAAAAGTAGAGTTTCTTCAGATAAGAACCCTATTTAGCATTATTCTCTTTTGAAGGAACCATGCAGTAACAATAGTCATTGCTTCTTTAGAGTCAAATCTTGAAAAGAATCCTAGATGTCGCTCTAGTGGTTCATCCTATATCCCACAAAATTTGATGAGCACTGATGATGTCCATTTTATGGTGATATATTGGTAACCTAGCAATCCTGTTTGTTTTTCAAATCAGTCATCCTATGATGATAGAGTCAACAATCTAGAATTAGAAAGTTTTAAGGCAAACCACAACAACATTCTAAATTTCAACAATGTGAATACAAATTCCATTTCTCTGAGAGTAAACTAGCCAATTTGGGGTCCTTTGCTTTCCAAGTGCTAAGTATTTCTGAGTAGTTGTGATTCAGTGTTCTCAGTTCAGTGAGCCTCCCTATGAGACGAGCAAAATGCTGTGGGTCTTCTGGATGATAAATTTTTGAATATTTGTACAAAATTTGTAAAATCGGTTCTTGTATATTTTCCACATGTTGCTTATTTTTAAGGTGTGAACGATCTGAAAAACATCATCATATATATCTTAATGAATACTGGAAAGTAGTAGAAGATAATTAATTTAAAACAATACAGTTTGTAGATAATAAAAATAGCAAATATTTTCCGAACCCTTAATATATGCAAGATATTATGCTAAGTAACTTACTTCAAGCAATATCTTATTTAATCTTCATAGTACTCTATGAGGTAGAGAAGTAAAGTCAAATAGGAAGAGAAGGGTCAGTAAGTGGTTGTAAGAATATAAGAGCAAGTTTCAAGCTTACTTGAAACTTAAAAAGATTAATTTCCTCAAGATCAACAGTAAGGAAAAGGCAAGTTTCTTAAGTACCTAGTTATAAAATATAAGAACCAACCAAGAATTTCTTAATGGTTAGGCAGCAATTATTTATCCAGGCATTGTGGTGGAGATATAGCAGCGAACATAACAGACACAGTCTCCTGCCCTCTTTAAGCTTATATCCTGAGTTTGGGAGGAGTGGGTGAGAAAAGAGATATATACACATTTTAAATAAAAATATAATATGACAATGATAAGTGTTATAGAGAAAAACAGAAAAGAATAAGAATTCAGGGTGGAAGGGCAGAAGCTATTTTTAAAAGGATAATCAGAGGTAAGATGACATCTAACAGAGATCTGAGATGAAGGAGGGCGGCATGTAACTACCTGGGGAAAGAGCTTTCCAAGCATATTTGTCAAATACAAGACAACCTGTGGCAGGAGCCAGCTTGATATTTTCAAGTAATATATGTATCAAAAGTAATGTGGCTGTGGTGGTGTGAGCAAAAGGGACAGTAGTAGGCAATAATAGAAAGAATTTGGCTTTAATCTGTGTAGAACAGGAAACCATGAAAGGATTATGAGCAGAGAAATGAAATGATCTAGCTTACGTTTCAAAAGAATAACTCTGGCTACTATATAGAGAATAGACTCTGGGGAGGCAAGGGCAGAAACAGGAAAGCAAAAAAGGATACTAGTTTGAATTAGGGTGGCAGGAACAGAGACAGTAAGAAGTGGTTGAGTTCTGGATATATTTTGAAGCTAGAGCCAACAGGAGGTGTTGCCTATTTGATAGGGTATAAGAGAAAGAAAGTAGTGAAGGATGACTTCACAAATTTTGGCTTGTGTAACCTGAAGGATGGAGATGCCGTTTAGTAAACATGGAGGAAGAATATAGGAGGATTAAGGGAGAGATCAGGAGGTCACCTTGGGACATGTTAAATTTGATACACCTACTACAAGTTGAAATCTTGAGTAGGCTATTTAGTGGAGCCTAGGGGAACAGTCCAAGTTGCTATATAACTTTGGGACTTGTCAACATGTAGATGGTGTTTAAAGCCATGAGAGAGGATGAAATTTCAAAGGAAGTAAGTGTAGAAGAAAAGAGAACTGAGCCCTAGGTCACTCTTAACATTTATCAGTGTGGGAGATGAGGAGGAATTAACAAAGGAGATGGAAATCTCAGCCACTGAGGAGGAAAATCAAGAGAGTGTGATGTCCTGGAAATCAGGTGGGGGAAAAGAGTGTCTACAAGGAGGGAGTGATCAACAGAAGCCAAGTGATGAAAGTTTTCCAAGAGAGAAGGAGTGATCTGCTCTGCCAGATGAAGCTGATGGGTCAAGTACAATGAGGACTAAGAATTGAAAACTGGAATCAGCAATGCCAGATTACTGAAGATCTTTGACAAATTATGGTAGAATGGAAAGAAGGGGACAAACTCTGACTGCGGTGGGTTCAGGAGCAAATGAGATGAGATAAATGAAGGAAGGAGTACAGACAAAAAATTTTTTTTTCTGTAGAGTAGAACAGAGAAATGGGAAAATAGCTGAAAGGGATTAGAGGTCAAGAAGGCTTTTTTTTAAGATGCAAGAAATTACAGCAAGTTCATAAGCTGAAGAGAATTCTCTCAAAGAAAAAATTTTGTCAAAATAAAATTGTTAACATTTGGCATCAGTGAATAATATAATAGCCACAGACATCATGATCTGATTGCCAATCTTAATCCAAATATTTTCTTCTGAATGGTTTTTACCTGAAAAAAACACAGTTGTTGCTGCAAGCAGAGCATATTCAGTATTAGTAATATTAAGTTCACTCATTCTTCTGTAGAAGTAAAACAATGTGGTAATAAATTCTTCAGCAATACCTAAAAAGATTAATATCAAATGTATTTTCATCAGACAATAGCGCATAATCAAACATATGGCCATTATCATCTTTTCTCAAAGCAGAATAATATAATGAAACATTATATCTGACCAATTTTTTCCATCCAATATAATATTTTGTATTGTATGTAATATTACCAGTCAGTGTAGTAGGAGGACAGTCTTCATTGCAAAATGTTTCCATAGAATAAATAACACTTCTATTATCACTCTGATTGTGACAATTCAGTGAATGATCTGAATGATCTGATACTCTCATGGTACCTAGCAACAGGGAAGAATATAAAGTCTGATTTTTAAAAAATCTTTATACAGATAGTAAATCCAATCTCTCTAATCTGTTAGACAGGAAATATTCCCAACAAATGGTAGCTTTATAATTTTTATTACTGGAATATGAACTGAGATTAATAGTTCAGATTTTATATAAATATTGTGTAGAAAACCCTGCAAAAATGTTTTCCATGATGCCATATAATTTTAAAAAAAGGTTTGTTTGTTTTTTTTAAAGAAAAGCAAAAGCTAGACCAATGAATTGGAAAAGCTATTATGAAGTACTTATTCCTATACTAACTAGTAAAGTGAAAATATAATAAAAAATAATGTTATATAATTTGTTGCTGTATTTAATAGTAACTTAACATTAAGATTAAGTTGGTTGGCCTTTTTTACCTTCAGAAGCTGATGAAAGACATTCTTTCTGACTGTAAAGTTGGGCCCCATGAAGGAACATCACTTCAGTTTTTGATCCCTTGCATAATGCAGTCTGGTCCTCAGTTGTCAAATTTTCAAATCCTTGAAGAAAAGATCACATAATTGTTTGAAATCAGTAATGAAAAGATAATTTTCAGGTATAAGATTTAATTATTCATTTAGTTATAATATGAATCCTAAATGTTTCCTTAGGATAATCACGATCTGTAATTTCAAATATGAACAAAATTCTTGATTCCACATGGTAATATTTTGGAGCCCTTTCATCAGAACTGGATAATAATACTTCCATATGACAAGAGGAAATTAAACAAAGTTTAGCCTCAAAGAATTTATTTTTACAATGAGTTATCTGTGCATATAAATAGGTAAGTTTTGGCCAACTGTAGCTTGATTTTTTTCATATTATACAGGCAATTTTATTTATTTCATGTTTTATATAAAAAAACAATTTCAAAACATTAAAAGTTAGAATCAACCATATTATGTGTCTTGCTCTAAGTCTTTGGAGTCATTTGAATATTTTTAAATATTAATATTTTCAATCACCTGATTGGTTTTTTTTGTTTTTAGAGAGGGAGAAAGAAGAGAGTGCACACGAGAGGTGGGGAAGGGGCAGAGGGAGAGGGAGAGAGAGAATCTTAAGCAGTCTCCATGCTCAGCACAGAGCAAAATGTGGGGCTAGAATTCATGCCCCTGAGATCATGACCTGAGCTGAAATCAAGAGTGCGGTGCTTAACCAACTGAGACATCCAGGCACTCTCCCACACCTGATTGTTTAAAGTAGACAAAATGAACATGTTTTTGCATTTGGAAGCAGCTTTGGTGGAAAAATACAGGGTTTTGTTTTCCTAAAATGTCCCCTGCCTTTAAAACAGGGAACTTTTTAAAAATTAAGTAGTATGAAATTATTTTCCAAAGGTAAAGTGATTACCTGGGAGTCCCTTGGTAAAATCCATTAACCCCTGTAGGTGTAGGACCACTGTTTCTGAGAGTCGCAAGAAGCTCAGTTCAGGATTTGCATACTTCTGCAGCTAGCCAACAAAAAGAAATGAGAGTAATAGATTTTATTTCTTTCAACTAACTGTTTAAATTTTTAACTTTCATGTTTATGCTATTGTTTTCTAACATAATTAGTTATAAATTATTTCTTGCCATTAATGAACACATACAAATTTCTTTGTTTCCTCTAAAGGAATTGTATATTTTTGATGGGCAGCCACAATGTTATTAATGAGCTGATGTTCCTCTTGAGTTAGTTCCATGCTCTCCTGAATCTATAAGAAAACACAGGGGGAAAACTATAATGAATTTGTATTAAGCAAGACATGTCATCATTAAAGAAAAAAGAAATTTTTTAAGAGTCTTGCCACTTTTCCAGATCTAGTGGTGGATGATACAAGCTTGTTGTCTACTCCTCCCTCTTCCATTTTGATGTTAGAGTAAAAACTATTCTTCTGTTTAAAGTTCTTTCGAAGTCTCTTTGACTTGCATTGGATTTCTGTGAGCAAACCTGTGATATTACAAAATTCATATAAAATGTTTTAGGAATGGCAAATAACATTATAGGATTCAATGAAAATTGTCTTACACTGTACACATATATTATTATAGACTTGTCTTTTCACAAAGAACCTTCCTTTTTTGGCAAGTATGTACACAGCATTTAAATTTACTACATTACTTCTCCTTTTCCATCCATAACTATCCTCTACTTAAAAGTACATAGTCATCCTAGGCATAAATTAAAAACCGATATTGCATCTCCAAACCATAAATTTAGACCTTTTTATGTTAGAGAAATTTCCACATCATATCTTGGAAACATAGAATATCAATTGATATAGAAATTCAACTACCTTATCTATGAGCTTTTTTCTTTGATTTTTATATAAGGTCAAGAAAATATTTTGTGATTTTGTTAAATGAGCTAAGTCGATTTTTTCCTAGTAAGACAAGACAGTGGTATTTTGTTATGGCAGCCTGAGCATTCTCAGACAGGGATAAAGTAAAGGATTCAGGCTGGTTGGACAGGATAACCTTAAGATCTATTCCAACCCTGAATTTTTTTTTTAAAGATTTTTAAGTAATCTCTATCCCCAACATGGGGCTCAAACTCACAACCCTGAGATCAAGAGTCACACATTCCACCAACTGAGCCAGCCAGCCAGGTGCCTGCCCCCAACCCTGGAATTTTTAATAATAGGAATCCTTTCGGTCAAGAACTTTGAAGAGTTTGGATTTTATTAAAATAAACAGAATAATATAAACAGAATATTGCATTGGTGTTTATTGAACAGGAGTGTAACTTAATAAAAATTGAAGAGTATTATTCATAGCAGTTGAAGGTAGACTGAACTAAAAAGAGATAATGAAGAAATAGCCATGAAATTAATATAACAGTAAGAGTGCAAGATAATAAGAGTTTATACAAGGCTAGATTAGACATGAAAAGAAAACATTAATAGTACCTTATTAAGAAAATGAATTTTGAAATCACCATGATATTTTAAGCCCTGGGAAATAGAAGGAATTGGGGAAATAATGCCAAAATCTTAGTACTACTCTGAGGATTACATGATCTCATGTAATCTATAAGCTAAAAACACTGTGAACATAGAAGGAACTCAAAACAGCCTAAGTACTTCTGCCTGTTGAGTTGGGTTTTGACACCTATGAGTTGTTAGTAGGCTCTACATACCTAGTTATCATGTAGGCTTCTAAAGATACAAGACCAAAGAAGGGGGACTACTAATTTAAAATTCTGCTTTTTATAGATACATTATATAAATTAAGGTTAAGTCATATGAAAATACAAGGATTTCCAATGAAGAAGAACATATTGAATATTGCCAAAATTAGAGCAATATAGTATAGAACAGGGTTTATGGAAAAATATCTAGGTTGGTCACCAGTCATCCTAATCTATCAGTTGCTAGAGAAATAGCTTCAATCTAGAGAAATACGTTAATGCTCAAAATGATAACTTGAGGAATGCATTATGTTGTCAATAAGGTAAGAAAAACTAAAATCCCCCTCAAAAAAAGAACCCCCAAAGTCCACAATAACACTTACATTCTGCCAACATTCCTACTGCCTTACACTTTTTCAGTCTGCACTCTTGACATTTCCTACGCATGTACATGTCCATTTCACAGTGGCCACCATTCTTGCAACGATATACTGCGTTTTTGGTGATGCTACGTCGAAAAAAACCTAATGACAAAAAAAGTACTTTTAAAATTTTACTATTAGGTATTTTTAGTTTTTTTATTAATATATACCTTCCTAGTAGAGTTAAATAATTGAAATAACTAAATTATTTCAATAAAATGTTTTTTTCATCAATAAGATTTAGTTTAATATACATTTATATTCTCTTATGATTGATATCTTCTAATCCAAGGTTGTTCCTTTCAATAATCACATGTGGAAATTGAACAAAATAGTTCCATCACATTAAGATAACTTTCTAGGGTGGGAGGGATGGGGTGGCGGGTGATAGACATTGGGGAGGGTATGTGCTATGGTGAGC